TTGACTTTTGCGGTTCTGTAGTTGAAATAGTCAGCTATCCAGGCCAAAAGTCTACCTCTGATTCCCATGTTGATTAGGGTCTCCTGAATGGCAAGAGGATTTGCTGATTAAAAATTCTCCATGTCCAGGAATACACCCACGGAGGGAGTAGTGCATACTGTCCTTAGGAGTGTGGCGATGCTGTGTGTTGTGCTCATGCCTCTGGTGAACCCGTGCAGGTGTTCATGAAGGGGTCCCATTTTCCATCAGAGCCGATTCAGTACCATTCTCTCAGCTGTTTTGCCTAGACAGATGAGGAGAGAAATAGGTCGGTACCTACCTGGCTCCTTTGGTTTTGGGAAGGGAACTATATAGCTTTCTTCCAGCTCTGGGACAGCGTAGCAGTTTGCCAGGAATGCAATCTCGCCTGCAAGACCTAAGTGTGAGATGATTGGGTAGGAGATACCATCAGAGCCCGGTGCTGATCTAGAACTGGTTTGTTTTTCTTAGTTCCCTGAGGGAGAACATGGCATCCGAATGATCAGGTTGGAGTGCCTTGTCTTTGATACAAACAAACCTGCCTCAATTTAAGCATTGCTGTTTTGCCCCATAAATCAGGAGGCAGACTGTTACTGCTGGTTCTGGCTGAGAACTCGAGTACTAGCCTGTGTGCCTCTGAGTGAAGGTCATGGTGCGTGCATCCCGGGGCTTGGCGTCTGGTAGCTCGCCTGACCTGTTTCCACAGCTGGGAGAGAGTGGTCTGGTGGCCAAAGGACTCACACCATTCAAACTACTTTTTCTTCTTGACTCTGTTGGCAGTTTCCTTGATTTATGTCTTGGACGAGTCTTGCTTTGAGCACATCCACGTTTATTGCTTCTAAGACAGCGGGCCAAACCCGACTGGAAGGCATGCCAGTTGACCTTGTCTGTTTTCCAGTTGGGAATATGTTGTGGTCTTTGGGCTGCACCAGCATCCAAAAGGGTAGTGACTGTGCCATAGTGATCACTTGTAACGATTTCATTGAAACACCATCGAATTCTCTCCAGCATTGTTTCAGTGGCAAAGGTAAGGTCCAAGACCCCTCCCTTCACATGCGTTGGTTCTTGGGTGTTGAGAAGAGCAATTTGGCCTCCTGTGGGGATCTAGCATTGGTAGATGTGCATTGAAGTCTCCCCCTATGATGTAGTGGCACAGACCTGTTTTAGATCTAAGCTGTCACACAGTGATCTGCTGTACACATTGTACAGTTTTAGGGGGACCCTGGCAGGTGGATCACAACAGCAAGACTCAATGCCTTCTCCACAGTCCAGCAGCTCGGCTATTAAGCAGCCAGGGGTCATTAGGCCTCTAGCACCATCCAGGTTTGGTGAGCTGAAGACATGATATCCTGAGAAGCGAACAGTGCCAATGTCTCTTGGAGCATGACAATGTCAATGTTCCTTCTTCATACTATTGATTGGAGAAAGTTTTTTTCTGTTATAGCTACATCATTTTCACTGCACTATGCTTAGATTGTGTGCCACGATGGTTACTCTCAGTCACTCTTAGGGGTGCATTCTGAAGGTTGAATAATGACATGGGTGAGTGGTTTGGGATGGATAGAGTTAGTCAGTAAACATTGAGGAGAGAGTTTTAGTATCAGTGGTCAGAGCTGTGGTCAAAGAAAAGGCAAGGGTCTAATAAGGGTAAAAAATCTTCGTTATTGGCCATGGTGAGCCTGAAATAAATGGAGAAAAGAAATGGTCTACCCCCTAAGGTCCCTATAAGGTGATTAACCAAGGGAATATCATGCCTATAGCTCCAGGAGGCCATTCATGATTGACACAAAGTCAAGCTTTCATCCTTTTAGCACAGCTCTCACACCTTATGAAGTGGACAGAAGGGGACAAAGATACAGAAGAGGAAAGGGGGAGAAGAAAAGACTGCAAAATTAATAGAGGTAAGGGCTGAGGCCTCCTATGACAACGGCGAGCAAGGGATTGGTATGTGTGTGTGTGTGTCTGCGTGTGTGTGCATAATCATTTTAGAAATGTATGAAGGAAGTATACAAGAAAGGAATTACGGATGTCCCCTTAGTTTTCTTCTTGGCCATATGCAAGCAAGGCTGCCACTTGGGTCTTTACCCTGGCTGCAGCTGCCTTCCAACGGAACTAACCCCGCTCTTTTTCCTGGGGCATTGGTCTAGGACAGAGGACTGTCCTTTCTACTACAATCAAAGAGGTCAGTCTTGGTGTCAGTACCACTAACCAGCCACCCTAGACTCAGCTTTGACTGTGATAACCACTCAGAGCAGTGATATATAGTTTTCCTTGGGGATGGCACAGGAGAGCTCCAGGGTCGCAATAGGGTGCACCTTCCAAACTATTCCCTAGAGATCTTGGACTATCATAGAAAAGCTTGGTTATTATTTTGAGGTGCTCTTTCCATGTGTAAGAATATTTAATGCAGGTGGGAGCTTACAATAAAGGAAAGTGTTAAAGTCAAACTAGATGGGACTTAAGCACTCTACTTGATGGAAAGTTATCTGATGATTTCTTAGCTAGGGGCTTTACCAGTACACTGATTTGGCATACTAGATCATACATGAAACCTTAGACAGATGATCATGAATACCATATTTCTAAAACATTAGTAATGTAAATAAAACAAATATTTGGAAATTATTTTTTTATGTTGTTAAATCAAGAAGTATGTCCCAATATCTAACATGAAACCAAGCTCCAAGTTATTACAAAGTAAAAATACTGTCACTGTATCAGAAAATGATTACAGACTGTAATCTGAAATCATAAAATATATATATTTTTAAAGACAGACAATTAATTACTCCTTGAAAACATGTATGCAAACATACAGAGTGAAACAAAAATTTATATATGTTGAAATATATACATAAAACAAGATAAGTACTAATCAATATTTATAAATAATCTACATTTAAATGCATAATTATCATGACATACAAATGTGGCTCTTCTGACTGTTTTCCTCTCTAAGATATGCAGGTGTTCATTTCATACTATTCCCATTTTTGTTCCTCATGGATCATAAATAACCTGTCTGCTGATCCATCACTTAAACCTTGCAACTTGTGTTACTGGTATCATGTCTTTGGTACCTCAACATGAGTACAGCTTGTTAAGGGCCCAAAAATTCACAAATGAACACACTTGAAACATCAAACAAAAGACTTGATTTATGAATGAGCAAAAACAATTAACAATATATTCACATATTTATTGCTCTGCTGCTATTTACATATTTTTTTATACATCTATACAGAAAATGCATAATACATCTATACAGAAAAGAGAAGAAGCATTACATGTTATACCCTCATTTTTATACAACATTTCAGGAAGAGGCCTTCTTAAATGTGCTGTAGATAAGCCAACTACTTAAACCTGCAGACACTAAGGCACCTGACCTGTAATAAAATAAACATCCATTTATTAAAATTAATATGACAAAAAGATGCATGTTGCTCAGATCTAAGGGAGGGAGGAAAGGAGGGAGAGAGAAGGGAAGGAGAGAAAACAAGAGAAAACAAAAGAGAAAGAGAAAAACTGAAAGAGAGAATTATGAAGAAAGAGACACAGATTGAAACATATAGAGGAATAATTCTATAAAAAGACATACATGACTAAACAAATAAAAAGAGATAGAAAATAGAAAAAGAAAGAAGTCAAAAGAAAAACTGATATATATCTTGAAAGAAAGAGAAACAGATAGAGAAAGAGTGAGGAAAAGAGAAAGAAAGGGAGATAGAGTGCAAGATACTAAGTGAATGAGATAAAGAAGGATAGAAAGGAAGAAATAATGAGAATTATATCAACGTCTTTTTCCCAGAGGAAACTGAATCATATAATTGTGATGGTCAGCAAATTAGAAGTCACTCAGTCACTGTTCTAGTAATTTTCAATGCTAGAAATTTAAGAATATAACCAAATCTAGAAATAAACACATTAAAAGTCAGTTCAAGTTAAACATTATTGATTATATATTATTAAGCAAAATGTGGTAAATATAATAATGAATAACAAATAATTATTACTTGTTAAATATTCAGACACCTAATACAAAATTATGCACTGAGAAAAATACATTTTGAAGAAGACACATTAATGTTGATAACCTTGTTACAAAGAACAATGCAACCAACCAAGCAAGAGATCTTATGAAGGGTGAGTGCTTCAGCTTACTGTATCTTGATGCCTTTAAGGTTCCACCTTTTCTAAAAGTTTTAAGAATTTCTCTTGTGCTGAAAAAAGTATACAAATAATATCAGTATATAGCAGAGTGCATAATGAATATAAGAAAAAAAATTCATCTAATTAATTAGCTTAAGCCATTCACTATAGAATGTCCTATCATGTCATGGCAAAATATCACTCACACTGGGATGCCACTGCCACATCACACATGGTCGAACCTACTCAAAGTTGTGTACACTAAATAGTAGTGTCTTTGCCTGGCTCTGACAACAATCACTGGCGAGAATCAGTAGGCTTAAAGCCTTTGTTTAAACTATTTATCTAAAGAATCATTGAAGCCAAGGCCAAGAGCAGAGAGAGTGGGGTAATCCTATGGTTTCTAGGCTTTTAATTTGAGCTGACTCTGCCCACACCATGTATGGTTTGGTACAGCATCAGAGGCTTGTGTTGTAAGTGGTTTAACAAAGCAAAATTTGTACTTTTGGAAATGTGATTATAATCAATGTTTAAAGGTGCTGTGACACTAGCACTTTTTCTGTCATTTTTTTTTTTAAATCAATTTTTCATAAACTGTCAACTTTTTGAGGCACACAATCACAAGGGTTAAAAGAACAATCGCGTTAGTCACGCAAAACAACAATATCACTGAACGCCTTCCCTTCAATTAATTCTTTGTGAACCATCTCTGATATCTCAGAGGCAACAATTCTGACAATTATTGATGAGAAATTCCTCAGAAAGGCATTGCCAGAAAAGAAAATTAGCACAATCCCTGATGATATTGAACGTGGAGAGGAATGGCGTGCACTGCTCTCACAGATGTATACAATCTTGTGAACACTTTTTCCGTTACAATCAATTTTATTTAACATAAATGCAAACATTCTCGAATACAGCTCTTGATGTAACTATGCTTAGCTGAAAGAGTTGAAGGAAAGGTTTTCAAGTGGAAAGGTCCCTTATCGTCTGACCGGAAAATTGACAATTCATAAAAAAATTGACAATATTTCATACCTTAAGGAAACTTTTTTCTTTTTCAAAATGACTACTTGCAATTTGTAAGGTCACAATACATTTCAAAAGGCATAATACAGTAATAGTATCTATCTATGGGCTGTGGGTTTCTCTCATTTTTCTGGGTTCAGGATTGTGACGTAACATGGGATATTGTAGTATTTTCAATAAGAAAACAAGCAAACAAAAAACCTAAAGGAGATATCTGACTTCACTTGAAAAAAATATCCTGACTGTTCTATGGCCTTGAATGCATGCATTTTCAAATACATCATATTGCAAAGATTTTTTCTA